GAGAGAGAGAGAGAGAGAGAGAGAGAGAGAGAGAAAGAGAGAGAAAGAGAGAGAAAGAGAGCAATGGATAAAAAATGCTACTAAAACATATTTTAAAAAAGGTTTAGGATCACTTTGGTTTTCTAGCGTTGCTACTTACAATGTGTCTGGTTGTCTTTTCTGTTTAACAGGATGAATTGCTTGGAACTGAGTGATCTCTATAGTCACTGTTTGAAAATCTGAAAAAACTCAAATTTTAAAAAAATCAATTAAAAAGTGAATTACATAAAATGCTAAAGTGAGGAGATTTTAAAAATCGATCTTCTTTTAGCATCACTGCAAGTGAGACATTGAGAGATTGAATGATGATGGAAATCAATTAACTAACAACAAACACCGTGACCTGTCATGACTACTGATGAATTTTTCTGGTTCTAGGAGTTTATTGCCGATTTTTCGTGCGGCTTTTTAACATGCCTCCAGGTGTCGTTTGAATAACATCGACCTAGTCAAGGGAGGTGCTGTCCTAGCTTCATGGAAGGGAACTGGTCTGAGAAGTGGATGATGTGTTGCAGTAAGCCACTCAGTCATTATAATATCATTGTATATAGGCTGGACTGAGAGGTCGAGTTGCGACGACGGGAAGAGTGGAAGAGCGGATACGGCTCGGGCGACCAAGAAACACAAGGCAACAGGATTATCGCATTGTTCTGGGCCAGAACTTAAAACACTACACAGCTCAGACTATACACTTCGTTAGAATAACAAAGTTCTATCTGACATTTTGGCTGTTTTGAATTACTAATACTATGAAGTCATGGACTCTGTTCAAGACAACTTGCACTCCATCCACTTCTGACCCAGGACCACTACAAAGCTCGACGGACCTATAGTGTACTCATCACCTGCAGTGGGCACGGCAATAGTAGTCAAGTGTACTGTTCACAGAAAAGTCCAGATTAACCTCGTTCTTCAGTAACGACAGCATTCATGTCAGGAAACGCCCCGGAGAACGCTTTCAGGACGCCTACTTAAAAAAAAAGATATGTGTTTATATATATGGTATATGATGTTATATAT